ACACAGTCTGAAGATGGCCTCAGTTGTTAGGGAAGTGGCTGCTTGAATGAGCAGGTGGTATTCAAGCTGTCAGTGAGCAAGGCTCCAATAATCCCTGAGGGGTATGCAGCCCTGGAGTAAACAGGTGTTTGATAACATGAATAAAAGACTTATTGCCACCTTAAAAGCACTTACACATTCAGATAAAGTCAACTTAAAATGACTGCTCTATCAAATGATATTTTCTTCTATGTAGATAGTGGCCTCTAGTAAAGCATTGTATTGGTTTAAATAAGTTAGGTTCTACGTGGAAACATCTGTTCAACATTTTCATGTCCGTGCCCTTGCAGCTCGTTCTCAGAAGCATCAGCTTTGCACCAGTATTCATGCTCTCTGCTAAAACTAAAGAACCCAGCTGCTAGAAGAACACACCAGATCTCCTAAGTCCTGCTCCCTCAGTGAGGAGGGACCCAGAGAACCAGAATCCTCAGATCCTGTTCTCTAAACTCCCAGATTCCCTGACTTAATGATGAAAGAGACTTTTGCAGATTTTGACTGAGGGTGGGAACGGGCTATCAGAAACTGAAGTTCTTGCTTTATTTAAACAATAGTGAAATGCTATGAAAGAACTTGTAGAATCATTTATATCTGAAGAACTAAGTTTCCCCTTAAATTTGAATTTACCAAATTTACCTTCTTTCAAAAGACTTGAAACATTTTTTAACTTTATTATTTCTTTTAAGGATTATAAAGTAGAGCAGGGGGAAAAATAAGGCACTGGTAAAGAATAATAGCTGGGGTTGCAGGCCAGTTCCCTGCAGGCCAGTTCCCAGCAGGGGACGCATGAAAGGCAACCCTATATTGATGTTTCTCTCCCTCTCTCCTTCCCCCCTTCCCCTCTAAAGATAAATAAATAAAATCTTAAAAAAAATTAAAAAAAAAAGAATAATAGCAATTTGCCAGGCAGGTATTCTTGGTTTCATCAAAGGAATGACTGGGAAATTTAATCTTTTTTAAAAAAATATTTACTTATTTTTAGAGAGAGAGAGAGAAAGTGAGGGAAATATCAATGTGTGGTTGCTTCTCACACACCTCCTACTGAGGACCTGGCCCACAACCCAGGCATGTGCCCTGACTGGGAATCAAACCAGAGACTTTTTGGTTTGCAGGCCGGTGCTCAATCCACTGAGCCATACCAGCCAGGGAAAATTTAGTCTTTTTTAAAAAATACTAAATGTTTCTTTAAAAGTTATAATAGATTCTTTGGGTGCTTCCTGAGTGGATTAATACAGTAGAGTCTGGATTCAAGTTCCAAATAAAACTGATACCTATTCTTAATTATGTCCTGCCTGCTTTAGATCAGGTTATTAATTTTCTTCAGAATCGAGATGGAATCTGTCTGTTTCTACTTTTTAAAAAATCCTCACTTTGGGCCCTGGCTGGTATAGCTCAGTGGACTGAGCGCGGGCCTGCGAACCAGACAATCGCGGTACGATTCCCAGTCAGGGCACATGCCTGGGTTGCAAACCAGTTCCCTGCAGGCCAGTTCCCAGCAGGGGACACACGAAAGGCAACCATACATTGATGTTTCTCTCCCTCTCTCCTTCCCTTCCCCTCTAAAGATAAATAAATAAAATATTTTTAAAAATCCTCACTTTGAGGGTGTTTATTGATTTCAGAGAGAGAGAGAGAGACATGTATATGAAGAGGATGTGTACCCTCCCATATGTGCCCTGCTAGGGACCGAACGGCAGCGTTTTTGGTACACGGGATGATGCTCCAACCATTGAGCCACTGGGCCAGAGCATTTTTCTGCTTTTTGTAATCTTACTTATGGAAAGTGATAAGGGCCTGGGGGAATAAACCAGTTTGTGGTTACCTTTATTGACAGCTATCTTATCTTTGCAGGTACAAGTGGATTTCTTGGACTAGCACTGTTCAATAGAAATGTAATGCAAGACACGTGAAATTTTAAAAAATTTAGTAGTCATATTTTTAAAAGTAAAGGAAACAAAATGAAATTAGTTTCATAATATATTTTATTCAACCAATATAGCCAAAATACTATTTCAACATGGAATCAATATTTTTATATTATTAATGAGATATTTTGTGTGCTATTTTTTCCACTAAGTTTTCTATATTTGCTGTGTGCTTTACATTAGCAGAACATCTCAATTTGACTAGCCACATTTTAGGTGCTCAGTAGCCCAAGACATGTTGGATAACACAGTGTTAACATGGTGAATATAAGGAGGCTGCTAAGATGAGGCTGCAGGAACAAAGCAGGAAGGTTTTATCTGTCAAACCAAGAGTCTGAGCTTTACTCTGAAGGCTATGGAGCCATAAAAGGATCTTAGGCAAAGAAGTGTTATTTTTAATATTGGACTTAATCTGGTGGTCTTGGAGAACATGGGTTAGAGAGTTAGGAGTTGGGGCTCAAGCAAGAAGCATTGTTAGAAGGCTGTTGTAATGGTCCAGGTGAGGAGTGATAAGAACCTGCACTAAAACAGTGGGGAACGTGAACCAAAGGGAGTGCATCTGATGGAGATTTAGGAGCTGAAATCATCAGAATTTGGCAGTGGCTATTGGATTTGAAGAGAAGGAGGGAGGAGTCTAGGATGGCTGTCAGGTTTCTACCTCGGGTAGGTTGGCCAATACTGGCAGTGTTAACTGACAGGGAGAAGGGGCAGGTTGTGAGGGGAGATGAGTTCAGTATGGGCCATGTGGACTTTGGGGTGCCTTTTCACAGGCAGGTAGGTATGTCCCGTTTGTGGTGCAAGAGTTTGCCCAAGGGTACGTGTAGAATTAGAAGCTATGAAGGCTGTATAGGAACAAAGTACTTAAGGTGCCAGTGAAAACTTTAGGCACTAACAAGAAGGGGTTATAAGGCTGAGGTGATCAAGAGCAGGTGGGATATTTATAGAAAAGGTGGGATTTAAGCAGACTTTAAAATGTCACAGAGGTAGAAGAGGCAGCAGAAATGTAGAGAGAGAGGTGAGACTGTTTCAGACACTGAATATGCCCATCCTGCTGGGCCAGATTGGGGCTGAGATCAAAGCTGGCCTGATGTGGTTTGCAGACATGTTTTGTTTGGCTCCAAGGGGTGGGGGGTTGGGTTGGATAATGCTTGGTTCTAAATTTAAGTTAGGTGCCAACATTTCCACAGAAAAATCCAGATTTCTGACTTTGTTTTGAAATAACAGGGGGCCCGGCAACACGCGTGGTTCTATGTGGTGGTGATCAGCTGAACTGTACGTGCCCCCCTCCAGCAGTCTGTTGGCCTCTTTTATGCTCGCTTTGCCTGGGTCCTGCAGACACTTGAGTTTTCTACTTCTGAGTCAAGGATAAGTAAGTAATAAAGGTACAAAGATAGGTTGGTGGCAGACAGTGTAATGCCAAACTAAGGAGCTTAAATGTGGGCAGTGGGCATCTGATAAGAGATTGATGAGATTAAAGCCATATTTAGGAGGATTATCTGGACCAGTGGGAAAATGCAGAAGTTAAGGAGGACAGTTATGGTTTCGAAAGGGAAAAGAGAGATGCAATGCTGATGGCATGCCTAAATGGGCTTAAAAACGCGAAAAGGAAGTCTGTTAAGGAGATGTCACCCAGAAAGACTCCTAGTGCTGCATGAGACCCATCTGGCCCCTTGAACCTGCTGGGAAACCTGCTTTGCAGGCTCCTAGAAGTCAGGCCCGTGTTTGCTGCAGGGGGACAGTGAGTCTGGTTGTTTGAAACACCTGTTTATGATTGTTGTAACATCTCAGTAATAGTATAGACATGCTTTTTCTCCTTGTTGTGAGCACAGATAGGTGATCACTAAGAAAACATAAGTGCTGCCTGCCCTGGCTGGTGTCGCTCAGTGGATTGAACCAAAGGGCCTGTGAACCAATGGGTTGCCGGTTCAATTCCCAGTCAGGTCACATGCCTGGGTTATGGTCCAGGTCCCCCGTTGGGGGCATGCAAGAGGCAACCACACATTGATGTTTCTCTCCTTCTCTTTCTCCCTCCTTTCTCCTCTCTCTAAAAATAAATAAACAAAACATTAAAAAGTAAACGGAAGTGCCAGGAAAGCTGTGGCAAACTGAGAAACTTGGGCTGCGGGAGCAAAGCTTACGTTAGATGGTGGGCGTCGGGCCGCATGTGGTGTCACCCAGTGGGACGCCCGCCTGGTCGCACCACCTGGGTAAGCACTCTCAGGCTGTTGGTTTACAGTCCTTGTTCTAAGTAGACACTAAATTAAAAGAAAGTTCCCTTTTAAATGATTAGGCTAAAGTTAATCTTTGATCATTATTAACAGTGTGTCAGGCGCTCTTCTACGTTCTTTATACAGGTATTGAATCATTACAACTGCCTTCTTGAAGTACGGTTGCTGTCTCTGCTTCCCGACCCGGAAACGGAGGCCCTGGAGGTTACGCACTTGCTCAGGGTCACAAGGCTAATAAGCAGTGGAACTAGGACTTGAACCCAAAGCAGCCTCTCTAGAACTTTTCTTTTAACCACTGTGTTAAACTGACGCTATCTTTATCTGTTCTCACATCCCACAAATAAGCAGATGCATAGGTAGAGAGCCTTAAGCTCCAGCGCAGCTTATTCAGAGGTGTCAGTTTGGTTCAGGCCCTCCTTGAAGAGATGAAACTCCAGAACTGACCCTTGAAAAACTGCCTTTCACAGAAGAGGTAATATACTGGATCCCTGGGCGACCTTGACAGAGCAAGGTTCAAAGGACTGTTCTCTCCTTATCACTGAATGGATCAGTGGTAACTTGCAAAGTATATGTTGGGAACTCTGTATTAAACATTGAAAAAGACCTCATGATAATTCTTATTTGATGCACACTAAAGCATGTTGGCTTTTCTCATGTTCTCATATGCTCTCAAAGAGCACATTTGATAAATATTCAAATTTGGAAGGAAGGGCAGGGCAGTCGGTCGCGGCGCAGGCGTCTGTACAGTGCCTCGGCGCTTGTCAGGGTCTCCTGCCATGTTTAGTGTGGCTCCCTTCTCTCTGGTCTACAGATGAAGCATGTGAATGAAAGGTTCCAGGATGAAGACAATAAAGAGGTGCTTCTCATGTGCATTGGCATCACATCGGGGGTTGGACGGCTGTTCTTCGGCAGGATTGCAGACTGTGTGCCTGGTGTGAAGAAGGTTTATCTACAGGTACTCTCTTTAGCCCTTTCCCCCAGCAAATTATTCTGTCACCTACTGGCTTGTTTATTTACTTGTTTTTATTTGCTTAAATTCTTCTGTAAAGATGAGGAGCCTAATTTCTACAAGCAGTTTTTCAAGGGCAAAATCAGTTCAGAGTTTTGGGTTTTCAGCATGAAAAATGGGTGATCAAACACAATCTTTGTTTAGTTGTGGAACTCCACGAAACCAAAATGTTTTTTTGCCCATAGCCTTTTTAATAAGAAGAGTGTTTTTGGCATAGTCCTTATAGTCATGTGCCTCTTGCAGTATCTTGTGAAATTCAGGAGCAGGGTGTGTTTGTCTTTCGAGCTTCTTTACTGCAGTTTGCCTTCTGGGTGTTGTGGAGTACACATTAAACAAAAGCTACTTCTTTTGTAGCTTTTGGAACATGGTCTGATGGACCATGTTTGGAAGATCAGATGGACCTCATTCAACAAGTATTTAAGTGACTCCATGCCTGCAGATGGAGCATGGTCTGTGGCCTCAGTCAGTAGTTGACGGTCTCATGGGGAGACAGAAAACAGTGTTACAGCACAGTGGAGTAGTGGGCATGCTGGGGGTGCCAGAGCCACAGGGGTGCCAAGCATCTGAATCACTAGTGAGGGTCTGAACAGCCCTCCTGGGCTGGCAGTGTTAAGTCATGAGTAGTAGACAGATAAGGAAGACAGAGAAGCATGTTCCAAGCAGAGGAAACCATATGGGCAAAGAAGTACAGGTGTGACGGAAACTGAATGTCTGAATGGAATAAAGAGAGAACAGTAGATTGACTGTCTGGGGGGTTAGGAGAGAGCCAGGTTGGGAAGGGCCTTTATGAGCACAACTGAGGATGAACTCTGTCCTGAAATCTACCAGGACCCATGAAAGGATCTGAAGCAAGGGAATGACATGACATGAATTGTGTTTTATAAAGTTTAATCCAGCAACTATGAAGGGTGGGATGAAGTGGAGGAGGGATAAGAGTTGAGAAAGTCACAAAAGGCCACACCGAATGATTCTGATTCTATGAAGTGTCCAGCCCAGGGAGTTCCGTAGAGACAAAAAGTAGATTAGATTAGTGGTTTCCAGGGACTGGGGGAGGAGGGAATGGGGAGTAACTGCTACTGGGTGTGGGGTGTCTTTGGGGGGTGATGTATTCTAGAATTAGATAGTATTGATGGTTGTACAACCTTGTTAATGAACTAAAGCCCATTGAACTGTCCACTTTAAGTGGGTGGGTTTTATGGTATATGAATTTATATTTCAATAAGGCTGTTATTTTTTTTTAAAGCAGAAGCAGAGGGACAGGTTGGAGACTATTTAAGTGCTCTAGGCAGGAAGAACCAGGGCAGAGATATGGGAATCAAACAGGGAGTAAAATAGGGGTACAGGGAATGAGGTGTCGATGGAGAGCCATCTAAGCTGGGTCTGAGATTTATGGCTTGGATAAAGGAGTGGATATTTTTGCTATTATATCAAGTTGAATAATTCAGTAAATTGGAGTAAAATGATGAAGTTATTGTTGCCACATTAAGTTTGTGGTGCTTGCAGGAAAGCCAAGTTGAGTTTGGAGCTCCTGAGAGTCCTGTGGGACTTCGGTGTTCATGGGCTGTGTGGGGTGAACGGAGGACCCGGGGTGTGAAGGGAGGACCAGGGGTGTGAAGGGAGACCCAAAGAGACTGGCCAGATGGGTAGGGAAAAGCAGGGCGCAGGGGTGGGAGCAGTCAGCGGCGTCCGTAGCTAGTGAGAGGGCAGGCTTGGTAAAAGATTAAGAGGATTTGTTGGATTTAGCAACAGAAGTTTCAGTGGATTGGCAGGTGCAAAAGTCTGACCGTGATCGGCTGAATAAATGGAAATGTAGACAGCTTGGCCCAGAAGCTTGGCTGTGGAAGTGAGGTAAAGGAGAGCCAAAAGGGGGACTGAGGGTTCGGCACTGAACGTGTCTGCTCACTATGTGGAGGAGAGGCTGTATTGGAGCAGGGCCTTGAAGGAGAGGTGAAATTTGGGCACAGGAAAACGATTGGAAAAGGGAACAGATGAAGTACCTGACTGTGCACAGCTGGGAAAGCTGACCGGTGGAGAAAGTTGATAGGAAAGAATGTATTCCTGTGAAATTCGGTGTCAGGGGAGAGCTCTGTGGATACTGTGGACCCCCAGAAAGGCAAACGGGTGGGTCTCAGGGCACGTGAGACTTTGCTGGAGGCAAAAACGACAAAACTGAAGCCATGCCACTTTGGGTACCTCCTGTTGGCCACAGTGATGCTGGGATAAATCGAAGCCTTCGGGATGAGGGGAAGACAGAATATGAGCTGGACTTGAGCTCTGAGAGCTGTGGGCACCAGGCTCCCGGCGCAGAGCAGGGCTGCTGGGGATGGGACATCCAGGACAGCTCTTAATTCACAGGGGCCCAGGAGTCAGAGCCCACTCAGCGGCACATGACACACACAAAGAACTTGTGCTAGTTGAAGTAATAACAGCCACCACACATTAAGCATTTCCACATGCATTACCTCCATTACTCCTCAGCCCGGGCCTTTGAGGAAGGTCCCGTTGTTTCCACAGACAGATGTGAGCACCGAGGAGCAGAGAGGCTGCCTCGCCGCGGGTGTCTGTGTGAGTAGGTCCAGGCAGACAGCCACAGGAAGGAGCCAGCCACAGGAATCGTCTGGTCATACAGCCAGAGGATGGGTGGGAGAGTTCTGCTTTTTCAGATGTTTACTATACTGTTGATGGGGGAACTAAAGAGTTAGAGATTTTAGCCTTAGTTGATAGGCTTCAGTGACTAATGTGTGTGGAAAGCTATTATTTCAGGAATTGGAATGCATGACCACCTGACTCCAGGAGGCCAACAAGCAATGCAGCCTTTATGCCCTGGGGGGTCTGCAGGCCTTGGAGACGGTCTGCAATCTGAGCCGTTGTGTTCCAGGAAGGGAACATCCATGATGCAGATAAAGAATTGTTGATCAACAGATAAAGTACTAGGAAAATGCTGCCAGACTGCAGCTCTTTTCCAGTGAACCTTCTTCCCAAACCCCTTACCTACCCTTTCTTCTCCTTATAAAAAGGTTGGCTTGAGATGAGATGTTGAGACATTTTTTGAGGGTGCACAACCTCCTGTCTTCTCAGGTCGCTGTTCATCTGAATAAAGCGCCTGTAAAGATTTGATCCTTCTCTCTACTTACTGGTTCTGTTAATGACGGGCAGCATGAATGCCAACCGTTCCAGTTTCACTGTGATCATTCCCTGTTATATTAATACCTGATTATGGATATCCACGTCAAACATTTAGCAGAACGTTTGGTCTTGTTCTCAAGTGTCAAGGGAGCCCTCTAATGGACATTTGCTGCATTACAAACTTTCAGCTTCTTTCCATTCATTCAAAACATTCTGGACAGCCCAGGCAAGACTTCCCACCCCACAACGAAAAGTGGTGCTTCTCAGGCCCAGCAGCCATACCAAGGGAAGTTGCACCACCTGTGGGGTCCCCAGCCTGACATATTTTTGTTTTGACGAGCAAAAGCCATGAGGAAGGTGGCATAAGAACAATTAAAAAAACCCAATTATTTCATTTTCAGAAAAGCAAAACATGCCCGGGCTTGTGTGGCTTAGTGGATTGAGCACAGACCTGTGAACCAAAGGGTTACTGGTTTGATTCCCAGTCAGGGCACATGCCAGGGTTGTGGGCCAGGTCCCCAGTAGTGGGGACACGAGAGGCAACCGTGCACTGCAGTTTCTCTCCCTCTCTTTCTCCTCCCTTCCCCTCCCTAAAAATAAAATCTTAAAAAGCAAAACATAAAATAAAATTTCTGAGTGCCTACCATGTCCCAAGCACCCACCTAGACCTTGGTAGCATAATTTAAACAAGACAGATATGGTCCCCGAATTGCTGGAGCAAGACTGGAAGCAGGAAAATATTTTCCTGTTTGGGAACTCAAGAAGACAGAGTGGCATGCTAAAAGGTTGGAGAGCCAGGAGGGGCCAGGTGATACAGAACCTTCAGAACCAAGAAGAGATTTTACTTCAGTGGGTCTTTGTTGGAAAATAATGGGGCCTGACTTTACATTTTAAAGTCACTGGTTGCTCTGTGTGTGGTGGAGGGAAGCAGGAGTGCAAGACGGGAGGAAGACCAGCGAGGAGGTCCAAGTGGTGGTCCAGGAGTGAGATGACGGCGGTCCACAGGAAGGTGCCGTGGGGCATAAAGTTACAGTATATTTTACACATCGGTGTTTTACTCCAACTTGTGAAACATTTTCCTGTTACTCATGGGGCAGTCAGGTCATTTACTACATTTTGGGGCACATTTTAATACATGTTACATGTAATTTACAAAAGAAAATACCTCCCTAATTTGTCCCATGTTTGCTCTGCAGTGACACAGCACTGAGTTAAAAGTCAGTAATCTCATTTTGGGTGAAAGGTTAGTCACAACCTTTTAGGTCCTCTTTTGGGTCTTACCTGTGAAAGTAAGGTAAGTCCATCTGTCCTGTGGCTGCTGGGAGCTGCTCTGGGTCCGTCTTGTGAACACAGTGACTCCGGAGCCAGCCAGCACAAGGCCAACCCACACGGGACCTGTCCTTTACACCACGCCCCTGGCTCTGTCTCTCCGTCGTCCCAGCTTCCCAAAGTCAGTGTGGTGTTGATTCCTGGCTGGGCTGCGACCGGTTCCAGCTCGGCCTGTTTGCTCGTTCCTCTTTCTCTCCTCTTTGCCCCTCTGGTTGCCTGCCTTTTGGCCCAGCCTGTAAGGGTTGGAATGGCCTGCTGCTCACCTCTCTTTCCTTCCTTTCGTTGGTGTTTTCTCATACCCCACCCCTGCTTTTGATTGTTACATTCCAGCCTTCCAGCCTCCTGGGACTCATATAGTTCTCTTTGCAACTTGTCCCTTGACGCCACTTCTGAGTGGCAGCTGGGCACAGAACACACTTCACAACCTCCCACAGGTCTGATTCCTAGTCAGAGTCATCTTGGGTTTGCGAGGCTGCAGAGCAGAAAAGCACAGGCTCTGGGGTGAGACCGGAGTGCACACCAGTCCTGCCGTTAATTTGTCTCCAGGACTGTCCTCGGCCTGTGGTGAGGATTCACGGTGACATCTTCTATTAAGGGCTAGCCCAGAGTGGATGACCGATTCATCCTTGCTTCTAATTTAATATTCTATTAAATACTGAGGCAGATCCTGATCTGGAACAGGTCTCGAGAAAGGAGACCTTGGAGATCCTGAACTGGCGGCTTTGTCACAGGTAACAGTTCAGGAACGTATCTCACACTTTTGCTGAGAGTTCTGAATTCAGACGTTCGTCAAGGTCCTGGTTTTCAGGTATTTTCAGCCTAACAATTTTAAATCCTGAAAGGAGAGATAACCAAACTGCATCACACAGAATAATAATGGTTAAAGAAAATCTTTGCAAAGGTTCTGAGACTATGTTCTCATGTCTACTTTATTGGGAAGAAGACAGGCTGTGTCCTGGTATTTTCTTACCATCTTTCCTCACTTCACAGGCCTGTCTTCCCATCAGCAGTAAATTACTATATATTTGAGTCTTTAATGTGTAACTGTTTCAGAAGTGTGGGAGTGTTGCAAAGGTCTGGAAGTTGTAGCTCCTCAGTGAAAGAATTGGAAACTTGGGTTTGGATCATCCTCTGCCGTGTCATGTTTCTGTGGCGTGGGCACAGTGAAGTGTGGACCCCGAGTCCGTCTGTGGGAAGCAGACAGACCCAAATGGCCTGTGTGTGGGCGTAGGAAAGATCTGGGAGGATGCAGACCAAACTGAGTGGTCATTTCTGCCGAGGACGGCGGGGAGGGGTGAGGATGAGAGGGGCTTGAAGGAAGACTTGCATATATCACTGTATACATTGTTCTAAGACTTGAATTTGTTTTAAAAATTGTGTTCATGGGTTACTTCTGTAATTTAGAATTTTTTTTAATTCAGCAAAATGAATCACTGTCATATCCATCTTCTTGTGAAATCTCCTCTGGCTGAGGTAGGATGAACTGATTTGTGTTGCCCGGTTTTTTGTTCTTTTTTACATTTTCCTGAAGATATCTTGGGATAAGTATATATGCTTTACCAACATAAGCTGTTTCCAAAATATTATCCAAATTCCTAGCAACGCCCCATCCTGCACGAGGCCCCTCCTCTCAGCTGGGCTGTTTGCTCCCTCAGGCAGAAATGGTGGTGCTGGTGCTGTGGGGAAAGTTGAACAGACTCCCTGTGAAGCACTTCAAGAGGGCTGTGGCCTCTTGTGCTCTAGAAGAAACCAGCCACTCGGCTGTGGCCTGAACACGGCCCTTTAGTTTGTGGCGGACCAACAGATCTCTGCTGCCCACTGGTTTCAGCCCTGGGTTTCCAGCTGGGGGCTCTAAAAGCCTGGAAACTTTATATCGCACCAATTTGTAGGAGCAGCACTACAATCTAACCCTGGCCACTCTCATGCCTGCCTTGGCAAATGCCTTCTGCTTATTCAGGTGCAGCTCATTTTTCCTCTGCAACTATACTTAGGTTCCTGAGCAAAAGTTGAACTGACAGTCCTCCAAGAATGCTCTTTGTGGTAGAAATGAGAATAGTAATAGCAAACAAAAAAATTTTTTTGTTGTTAAGTACGTAACCTAAATCAAGCAGGGGGCTATTCTTCTAGAGCCTGCAGTATCATGACAGGATGTGCTTCCTTGGGTGGTTTTAAGAAAACAAAAGCAGGAAAGACCTCTCAACTGTCAATGCCTTATTAAATGTCAGTGCCAAAACCCAGAAGAAAATTAGAGACCTTTGAACCCTTATTTAAATCTAACCAGAGCCGCTGTGAGGAAAACAGACCAAACAAAACAAAAGAAAAACGAAGACATTGCATGTGATACTAAATTTATTCATCTTTCAAATTCTGGAGCCCAGAATCTACAGATCAGTATTTGATATATGGATCAATATTTATTTTGGGCAGTGACGAGGAAGTTACGAACCTCCTCTAAGAACAGTTTGTGAAATCTTGGCCTGTGCTCCTTGTGGCTCATATATCCCTGCATATGAGGGGCAGGTCTCTCCTCAGCAGCCTGGCCTGTGACCCCCTAACTGAGCTGCATTTCGGATGGTGACACCTGCTGGGAAAGAGCATCACTTCTCACTCCTGGGGCTACAGGGAAGGAGGAAACGGCTAGTTAGATAAATGCTAAAGAGTAAATGTGTGAATTTCTGTGAACTCAGACCTTAAAGAAACAACAAGAAAGTTTACTTTGAAATAACTATTTTAATTTGACAATTGATATTAAAATTTAACAAATTTAAATAACTAATAATATTGTCAAATGATTGAAAAAGACTATAAATTAATACAGTATGAATTGAGAATAGGAGAATTTGCAGTCAGGTTAAAGTATTAAGAAATGTGCCCAAAATATATAGTAATACATTTTGAACTCTAAAGTGAATGATTTCTCACAGAACTGACCAAAAAACTGATGTTCCTCAAGGGTTTTTAAAACACAAAATACCTGACTATTTAGTCAGGGGCATGGGCCTGTTTTCTCTGATTACCAGATTGGCAACAGATATATTTTTGGCATGCCGCAGGGTTTTAGTAATTAGTTCATATGCGTCACGAGATGAAGAGGTTGACGTCACCTCCGTGATGGAAATACTGAGAAAGTGCTCCGGGAACTCCGAGGGCGGGGCTGTGGGAGTTGTTACATATATACCATCCAGGGGAGCTGGGCCCGGGGGCAGCAGACCCGTAACTGCCTTAAAGTTCTAAATGTGTGGCTCAGTAATGGTAAGATTCACGTTTCTGAATGTAGAGTTGACATTGCGGTGTCTGTCCCAGGTTCTCTCCTTCCTCTTCATTGGTCTGATGTCCATGATGATTCCCCTGTGTAACGTCTTCGGGGCCCTCATCGCTGTCTGCCTCGTCATGGGCATCTTCGATGGATGCTTCATTTCAATCATGGCCCCCATTGCCTTCGAGTTAGTCGGCGCCCAGGACGTTTCCCAAGCGATTGGATTTCTGCTTGGATTCATGTCTGTACCCATGACTGTGGGCCCACCCATTGCAGGTAAATGTAATTATTCTCCAGTAATTACATTAATTCATAGCATTATTACTACAGGTCCTAAGTCTCACCTGTATATAAAATATATTAGTTACTGGTCTTTTGCTTTTGTGTGCCACAAAAAGCCAAATGCAACATGTCACATAGTCCACGATTCCATTTATGTGAAATACCCAGAACAGGTGAGTCCGTGAAGGCAGAGAGTTGATCTGTGGCTGCCGGGGGCTGGAGGGAGGGGGGAGGACGGAGTAACTGTATAACGGGGTGGAGTTTTTTTCTGGTGAGGTGAACACGTTTGGAACTAGACAGAGAGGGTGGTTGTACAACACTGTGAACATCCTAAATGCCACTGAAATGGTTAATTTTATGTTACATGAAATTCACCTTCAGAAGCCTTCTGAGTGGTAGTGCAAAGATGTCTCATGTCCAGTATTACTTGGGTGCCAGTGTGACTTAGGATGATAAGAAGATTGGTCAAAATTTAAAGGTATGTGCTGTCATCCGTGCCGGCACGTGAAGGGCTCAGTTACAGTCCAGCTCAACCCATCCTCACACACGGAACCACACACATCTAGCAGGTCTGCCGGCTGGGAGCCAGTCAGGAATCCAGCAAGTGGCGTCATCACTGCGCAGACCAAACCGCTCAAGTTCTCCAGGCACAGCCTCTGAAGGAGACCCTCCAGCCCCTCCCTCCCTCCCACTAGTCCCACTATTTTTACACCCGACAAGCTAGCTCTTTAGGGTTTCCAAGTCCATAGTAGACAACAAGCAGCACTTTAGTAGGAATGGAGTTTGGGACTAGAAGTAACTGATAACAGACCCGGAGTAAAGGTGGTAACAGGAAGCCTCCGAAGCAGGCAGAGCAACAGAGCAACCGGGGCACCAGGAGGTCCTGGGGGATCCAGTATTACAGCCAGACAGAGTAGTTCGTGTTTGCAAGTGTGAAAGGTTCAGTTATGCAGGGCATACTCTCATTGGGAAGATGGGAAAATCGCACACTTAGACATACTGTATCTTTTAGGTTTCCACCCAGAGTGTGTGCACCCTTTTCAAACGTGCTGGTGCCCAACTGGACAGACCCTCGGCAGGGTTGGGCGTTTAGTGCGCCGTGTTCCCTGGACGTTGCTGGTAACCCAGGTTGTAAAGTAAAAGTTTTATACGTTTAAAAACACTAAGGCAACTAATTAAAATTTGGATTGGGTTAGAATTAAACATAAGGAATATGCTAAATAACAGTTTTCAGAAGCAGAATTCAAGGATCTATTAGAATGCCCCAGGCAGGTTCTCATATTTTCCTCTCGTGAGGATAAACCTGAGTTACCTTTCAAAAATGTATTTAATCACCCTTTTCTTCCTAACTTAGATTTATACATTTTTCATGACTTTAAATTATAATTTTAAATAGTTTCCTATTATTTCATAGACCCAAGGAAGGTTCGCAATGCCAGCACTTGGAGGTGTGCAGGAACATTTCCAGCCTGGTGGCAGCTTTTCTGACACCGTGTGGCAGGCTGGCCCGGACAGCCTCCAAAGGGCTCTGAGAAAGCCAAAGCTTGGTTGCAAATGTGTTTTCCATGTAATATCTTGTAGTCTATGACAAGATTAAAGATACGAGATCTTTTCCTTCCTCATATCACGAAAGGTGTATATTTCAGACACATTTCCTAAAAAGTGTTTAGTAATATGAGACGTTTGACCTAGTTCTACTGAGATGAAGTTATTAGGTGGGGACGAGGCAGGCCATCAGTGGGACTGAGCTGAGACCCCTAAGGGTCCCACTTGTTCTCTCTTGGTGACAGTTTTCCCCTTTCCAGGGTTACTTCGGGACAAGCTGGGTTCCTACGACGTGTCATTCTACCTGGCTGGAATACCCCCCCTGATTGGAGGAGCCGTCCTTTGTTTGATCCCGTGGATCCACAGTAAGAAGCAAAGAGAGATCAGCAGAACCACTGGAGGAGAAAAGACGGAGAAAATGCTGGAGAACCAGAGTTCTCTGCTGTCGAGTTCATCGGGAATCTTAAAAAAAGAATCTGATTCTGTCATTTAATGCCTTATATACCTCCACCAGACTGGACTTGCTTTCAGAAGTTTAAGCAAGTTTTCCTTTTATATGAATTGCAAATTTCTTATTTTTTTAATCACACCCTAAGAATAGCACAATAATGGGAAATAGAACCATTATTACTGTAAGAACCATTTTCTGCCACTGAATGGCTGTCTGATATTTCCATGGGCCTGAGGGCAGAGACTCTGGCTCATGAAAACAAATAATATGAGAATTTGGATCTGTTTCAGTAAAAAGCAGCTTTGGAAACTGTGAATGCTATTTAGCATCTACAAGTATTTAAAAATACCTCAAGTTATACTGAAAAGATTGCTGTTTGGTTAGGACTGAAAATATTGTTTGTTTTCTCACATGCTGTTTTTAGTTGTGGTATCTATATTTTAATTTCTTCTCCTATTTGGAGAGTTTTTTTTACAAAATTTAAGCATCGATTTTAGGTAATGTGAGATATTACCTAAACCTCAAGTCTGTGTTGAAGTCACTCACCTGTTGAACAGGTGTGCGCTCTGGGGTCGGGGTCCTCTTGGAGCGGATGCTGAGTGACAGTGTCTCCGTGATCAGCATGTGAGGCGAACAGGATCCTGTTCACACGGGCAGAGCAGCTCAAAAATCAGGTATTTCTTCCATTTTCCCCTTTGGGTTTGCAGTGTGTGTTACTCAAGTAGCCAGAAACACCCCAAATTTCTGAATTTGTTTAAATTGTAACAATAAAGTAAAATAGAATGAACGAAAGACACTCTGGCAATTTTAATGTAGAATTTTTTTCACTTCTGAATTTGTTAGCTCTAGGACCTGATATTTAAACAACATCTTACTGAGTATGTTGTCAAGTTGCAGCCTCAGGCGCAACGGGGAACAAATCTTAGTGTTTGTAAAGAGATTCTCTATTTCTGGTGGCGCAGTTGCTCCCATTGGCTTGTGAAAACAATGGGTCTTGAAAGTTTGAAAGCATCTGTAAGGAGAAACAACTGCTACATTTCCAAGACTTTCTGGCAGAAATTTGCATTCATGTGTATTTTTCCTAGTGTGTTCCCCCTTCACGTCCCCGGTACTCTTTCCTGTTTATGCACAGACAGTTGTAAGAAAGTTGTTAGCATTTTAAGGGCCTAACATTAAAACCCAAGTCATGTCATGACCTGTACTCATCTACAGAAAAAAGGGGCCACATTCCCAGTCCCTGGAATTATACTTCAGTGTGTTTTTGTTTCTTATTTAGGTCTTTAAAAGTTAATAATATGCAAATATATTTAAATCCTAAATATAGATATATATTAGATTTTCCTCAAATGTAGCTTTTTCACCTGGAAAGAATGCTGCCCTTTTCTAAGGCACCTCCAGGATCCACCTGTTTCCAAATTCCCCATGAGGAGGAAAACTCCATTGTCTACCCACCTCACTTTTCAGCTGCTATTGTTTCTGAAAGGCAGAGCGTCCCCACTTCCGCTCCGCTCCGCGTCTCCAGCTGAGCAGGGCACCTGGAGAGCAGGTGGGTTCCTAGTTGGAAGGGACTGGCAGGTGGCTCACCAGAGGCTGCAGGAAGTGCGGCTGTTACTTAGGCGGCTAGAAAACCCAGGAGCTTTCCTGTCACTGTCAACTTTCTTATCTGCAATCTTGAGAGTTCTAAACATTGAATTTGGAATGATTTTTAGTAGGATTTTAAATAATTTTGATTGTGAAAACACTCAGCAATTTACTACTTCCAATATTTCCATTTCATATTTAGGGAACTTAGGGAATTTCTTTTTTTTTGGAAGGTTCTATTGCAGACACACAAAACCCCCACAAATCTACATTTGATCACACTGCCCTCTTATGGTCTTATTTTAAACTTCTAGAAAATGACTTAGAAATGATGTGATACATTATCAGGTTTTTCATTTATTCATGCCCAGTTATAAAAACATCATTTCCTCACATTCAGTGCTTTTGAGATAGGTAAGAACATATAACTAAGACCAATCCTAAAACCTGCCTGAGACTCCTAGGACTTGCCCACCTGCAGTTCTACAGAAGGAATAATTCTAAAGTAGAATATTTACTCAGTAAAGACTCCCAAAGTACTTTTCCTTTCCAAATTTGGCTGATTTTAGGGGGGAGAGGTAATAATCTGAAACTCGAAGACTTGATCTTGCTTTGTTAGTTTTCATAATAAAATAGAAAAGTCACTTAAGTTTTTATCATAAAAATTAGATCTCAGACCATTACACATCGAATGTCACATACATGTAGTTATCAGTCCAGCAGAGTGAGTCGGCAGGATCCGTCACACCATGAAGCTCTGTTGTGATAGACTCTTACGGAGAGTACTGTGCTGCAATAATATAAAGTTGAAAAGAAAAGGTATAACAGGTAAAATGCTAAATTTCATAAAATGCATATTTACTAATATGTTGTTTGGTACAAAAAGTTCTAAGAGTCTATAAAGTTCTACAAACTAAGAAAATGAAAAATACTAATATCCATAAAGATTCATGTTTCAGACACAGAAATATTAATCTTTCCATCAAAGTAAATTATTTCTAATTCTGAACAGAGTTTTAGATGGACCTTTTTTTTTTTAGTTAAATTCAGACACTTTTTTGAGAGGAAAATAATAGAGTCAGACCTCTGCTTTCCAGCTCATCATCCTATTTCTGACAGGACTCCGTAAATTCTCACATTCCCGAGTTTCTTGCATTTGAGGCCAACAGTAACATAAAAAGGGGAACAATTAGTGTTCTTCTCTGCAGAAAGCTGGACCAGATACACAGGTAGCTGATGCCCAAGGATATTCCAGAATAGGTTTGGTTAAATTTTATTGCAGTGGATATTGTTGAGATCCATCCATTTCAGGTTATTGATACTTTATTCAAAGTTTATAAATCACTTTGATCGCAGTTGCAATGCTTAGCCTATAGCCCTACTATAAGACTTGTAATTTCCACTGAAATTACAAGTAGTAATTGCATTACGTTTCCAATTCTATTCATTTGCGTTTCATGATCCGTATGTTGTCTGTTTGTGGGTGATCCCATGGGCTCTGCCCAAGTGTGGAGAAACTTTTAATGCTATTAGCTTCAACTTTTCACACCTTTAAAGTAAATAGACACTTAATTTTAAAAATTACTTTAAAAATTTAAAGTAATTTTAAATATGTTTCCTTTCATATTATCTTCATCCTTATCATTCTTTTTCCCTTTACTTCCCCATAGCCTTCAAAAATCTCCTTTCAACTGAGGGTGCTAATGGTATACATTGAAATTTTTAAAAATTACGTGATTAAAATTTGGGGGGTATTAAGTTTCATATAATTGGTCTCTGTGCTGACATATAAAACTTTATTTAACTGTTTAAGGTTAATACTTTCAGAGAAAAGACTGTCAAGTTCTTAGCATACATATTTTTGGAGGGCATAATTTTTTACTTTGATTGTCCTATTTCTTTAAAGTCTTGCTAAATCTTAGTCCTGAGAACACACCATGGAGGATCCCTTGGAATGTAGGGAGCCGCTTGGATGCGGTTCCCGTGAACCTGCCTTAGGCTGACACACACTTGGTGGGTTTACAGGTACAATACAGAGGGAAAAGGATAAGCTAATTAGCTCCAATTTTTAAATATGTAAATGACTTAAATAAGTATTTAAAACTTATTTAAACCCTTTCAGAAATTTCTAACACTGAAAACTTTATTGTTGCTGGCATAAACATTAAGGAGCAATGTCTGTATTAGATTAAAGATTGTTGCCTTTTTCCAGTACTCAAAACGGAGGAGGAGAAGAACTTTATTTCTTTTTACATCTGTAGTAATTTTTAATTTGAAAGACAAGTGGTGTCTTGGCTAACAGAAAAATGCACCATTCATATAGTTTGGTTAACTCTTTAAAAACTCAAACCTTTTGCTTTGTTACTAAAACAAAAGAATAATTTGCCATTCCTAACGGGGATCTGGTGGTGTGGAGTAAGAGCATACCTTAGGAGGAAGGCTTGTTTCCTTACTGACAGTCATTATTCTGCTCATGTCACACTCGCCGATTATTTTGTTGTTGATGACTTGGTAAAAGGAACATAAGACCAGTCAGAGTCAGCGAATGGTTCAGGGGCCGGGGATCCATCTTAAGGCGACAGCAACAGCACTGCAGCTCCTGGACTCGCCATCGTTTCATAGCCATGGCCACCTTCATCATTTCAGTTGCTGGCGGAGACTAACGCTTTGGTTTATAAATACGCCAGAGAGTGAAAGGTTACAGTGCTCAAGAATAAAGGGCCAGATGCCCACAGCTAAATGTGAGACCTGAATACAGCTCAGAACCTCACCTACCGAAGTGTCCTAAGTGTGGGCTTAGCAGATGGCTCCTTCTACGACGATAAAGAAACGTGGAGCAATATTGCTGCATCTTTGAATCACTCGAAGAAACCTTGAAATCTGGGACATAGTAGTTTACTTAGCTAGTTCTTTGTTAAATAAATCCGTTTTTGAAGTAGTGAACACTAATCATTTTGACCCCTACACACTCACAGATATCCCCCATGGTATTATTTTCTTGACAGATGTAAGTCTACCTCGTTTATGACACAGAAGAGTTTACTTTTTTTATTATGACGTTGGAAAGATACTGGGAATTAAATAAAACCTTTGTGAGTGCTTGACCATGACACTCACCCGACTACAACAGCGCACCGCCCTCAGCTTTCAGTGTGCGCCTCAAAGCTTTGCGGAATCGGGAGCTGGCAGCGATTCTGGGATGACGAGGCAACCAGGGGCAAGTAATTAAGGGGGTCAAAATAGTAGAATTTCCTAAGTGCTTTGTTCTGACAAATGGATATAAAAGGAACAGAAAATGAGCATTAACTAATGTGGCCCGTGGATAATCTAACAAAGGAAAGATCTATGCATAATAATGAACACTCACTGAAATGCTTTGCCAGTGGCTTTTCCAATTATACAGGCAGCTTGACAATGAGGTTTTGTTCTCATTTGTGTTTTCTTTGGCAGGGTGGTGGGTGATCGCTGACAATAGATTATATGCTTATGCCTTAACTCCAAAGCTTACACTTTGAACTTCTATAAAAGGCTCCATTTTGCTAGTGGTAATGATTTTTTGCCTCAGTGGAGTTTTTGAAAATGCTGTTGTTGACTGTATCTATAGTGTAGAGGTTAACCCACAAGTTCCCAATTTAATTACAGATGTTTCCAGCCTTTCAATATTAGTTCTGTAAGAAGAGAATTTTGGAGTTGAATGTCACTGGGCATGTGAGAGGCACTGTCTGTATAAAGTAACATTAAGAAATCAAGTTAGGTATACAATACTATTCTGAGGCCTCTAATATACAGAGTACAGCAAAAGTAGGTTTCTAATTGTTCATATAGAAAATAATGTAATGATAAATAATAATACAAGAATAAACTCTGTGTTTCATGTACTCACAACTGTAAACTTACTTTTGCCCCACCTTTTATGGCTTTTATTCTTTACCAGATAATACTTTCCAGTACCTGTCAGTTATTGGAAGAGTGGATTTTAAAAGTATGTTAAATGTGTGTGAACACAAACCTTTTTTTACTCTGGCCCGCCCCTCATGCAGTCTCCTGTAATATATTTGGATGGGAATGCATTGCAGGCGTGGAACGGGTAAACGCACCTTTCATTATCCAGCCTGCATGGGCGTGTTATTTCAGGGACCGAGGGCTGAATTCTGACCCCAGGCTCTGAGCTGATTGTAGTTTGGTGCCTTTTTTCCCCAAAGAAAGATTCAGTCAAGATTGGCGCTAAATTTCATGCTTCTTTCAAAGTTACTTTTTCTTTTAAAGCATATATAGCACAGTAGGAAGTGTGAGATCCAGCAGTGTTGTGCGTGTTGCCTTCTGTGTCTGCATCAGAGGAAAACACCTTGTCTGTACGGCAGTTACTGAGTTCAGATACCTCCTTAGAGGGTATGTGGTTCTGGTAAACACACTGGGCTTTAAAGTGGGAAATGTCAAAGAAAATGATCACCAAATAAAATGTATGATGAACATAGCCTCCAGACACCTCTGCTCAGTGTTTCTAGCACAGTTTTAGATGCTAAAAGCATGCTGTAACTCTGAGGGTATATTTAAAAATATGTATATTTTACTGTATAGTTATATATTTACAAAATAACTTTAAATAGGTATTTTAAGGTATTTCTCAGGCTAAAATCAGAGTTCTGGGAGTCATCAGTCTTAAAACTTGGGTAACGAGTTACATTTTTTAAAGAAAATTCACACTGAAAGTATCATTGTTCATCCTTCAGATTTAACCTAAAGACTTAAATTGATAAGGACTCCGAGTCAGTGTCAGCAAACCCCAGACCTCTGGTTTAGCAGGGAGGTGTTGGTCCAGCATCATGGCCGTGGCCGTGTGGCCGTGTGGCCTTCTCGTAACCGTCCATGCAAATTCCCGGGCACTGCTGAGCCCCATGGTCCTGCCTGCAGTACCTGGAGGAAGTTGGGGACCACAGGCTTTTATTTAATCTTGCTGTCTTTTACAGACTTTGCCTTAACTCTGTTTTGTGAGGATTCAATAAATATCAATTAGAAAAATGATGGTACACACTATCATTTTCCTAATCAGGAAGACCATACGTTCAGAATCTACTACTAGAGTTTCCTGGATTCTCTGTTAGTCGAGAGTGCCTTTTTGCTGTTGACATGAGTTGTATGTGGAAGGGAGAATGGGGGCTTCTTAATCAGACGTTACAGTAGAGTGAAATTAAATAGCCCTTTAAAAACGACTTCTGACGTTGACGTAACTGTTAATATATTGTGGTTTGAGAAATATAAGCTTGGACAAGCACAATGCTTGATAAATGTGTGTTCTGTCAGTTTGTTCTCCTGCCAGTTTGTTTATTTTGGCCTGAAAGTTAACAGCTACCGCAGTATCATTAAGGGAGCGCTTAGATATTTTAAGTATTTCCTAGTATATGATCTTTTTCATGTCAACTTATTTTAATATTTATCTGAAAAGTAATTCTTAAATTATTTTGCATATTTTCAAAGTTAGAAAAACATGCTTTATCTTGGCCATCAGAGCCGAATTGTCCCAGGAGCATGCTGTACCCCTGGTGCCTGCCGCCGTGCCTCTCTGCAGGGTGCCATGTGGGCACGATAGTTGTTTAAATGTATTTCACCATGCGAAATGATTATGTTGGATTCGATCAGCATGCAGTATTTTAGTACGTGCCTTTTAAAGATATTTGTTTTTAAAGAGTATAATTTATAATTGATTTTTATGATGTATAATTTAATAAATAACCAAAGTCTTTTGAATGAAAAGAGCTTTGTAATCATTTTACCGTGGAACAATGTGATATACTCAGTAAATAAAATAAAAAAATTTAGCAAATTTCTGTAAGGCTTTGTGATTATATTTATGAAATTCCTGGGGAATAAAGGGAAGAAAAAATTACTAAAGTGAAGAAAATAGTCTGTGCTGAATAAAAGAAAAAAAAAGCCGTGTGCTTTTAAAGCTGTTTCTGTATATTCCAAGTATGCCTGGGCATTGTTATTTCCCTGGAATAGAGGACAGGGATAGACATGATCCAAAAGCACTGTATAGTCTGAAAACTATTTCTGTTTGACACTTGTTTTGTAGTTAACACACATTACTGTTTCTTTTACTTATGCTGATTTTACTTACTAAATTCAGTCGGTACTATTCATTCATAATTTCAGGGGATGAGCAAGAACCAGGCTGGAATATTAAAAAAACAATCCCCTGAATTATGGATTACCCACATTCAGATGATGTTTATTAGTTGATGAGCCCTAATTACAGAGTTAGATTCATCATTTATGTTTAATGGTGCCAGAGAGACCTGGCTGGTGTGGCTTAGTGGATTGAGCACTGGCCTGCAAACCAAAGAGTGGCTGGTTCTATTCCCAGTCAGGGCACATGCCTGGGTTGTAGGTCAGGTCCCCAGTAAGGAGCATGTGAGAAACAACCACACATTGATATTTCTCTCTCTTCCTTGCCCTCTGTCTAAAAATAAATAAATCTTTAAAAGATTTTTTACATTAAGCTCAAGAACAGGAAATTTGTAATTCACCATTTAACCCAATAATTACTCCTACGCCCACATGTGAGAGCCAGAGTGTGCAGGCCACTGGGGGCTTTTGAGAAAACTGGGAGAGGATGGGTATGACTGATTCTGAGCAAGATAAAGTTCACTCTGCTGAAAAAATAAGTTTTATGGAATAAATTAGAATTCTAATACAGAAAATCTAATTATCATAGTATCAAACTTTAAAAAATGTATTCTTTTAAATTTTTTTTTATTTATTTTTAGACAGAGGGCAAGGAAGAGAGAGATATCAATATGTGGTTGCCTCCGGCACGCCCCTCACTGGGGACCTGATCTTCAACCCAGGCATGTGCCCTGACTGGGAATCGAACCCATGACCCTTTGGTTTGCAGCCCACATTCAATTCATTGAGCTACACCAGCCAGGGCCATAAATATCAGACTTATAATTTATAGTTCTCTTCTCATAGTGTCCTACAGATGAACCTAAAACTTTAAAATCAAGGTTTCATTTTTTGAAATCCTCAACTCAAGTGTCACCGGTGTCCCCTTGTTCCCTTCCAGGGACAGGAAGCTCACTCTCTGGCACCATGGTCTCTGCACCTGGGCCCTCTGCCTTCTGTGCTCATCCCATCAGCTCTACCACCTTTTACCTGTCCTTGTCGCAGTGGTCCGTGTCTCCTGGGTCGCTCCTGTGTAGCCCTCAGCTGTGGCAGCACTGGCATGTGGCCCAGTGTTCGATATTCATATGGCGCAACTTTATTTCCACTTACAATGAACGGAGGCACTTGGAACCTTATCTCTGGAAATGGCTTCACCTTTGAAGTCTTAGATGCCAACATATCTCTTACCACAGCTTCTGAGCACTGTGTTCATCTTCCTCACTCCCACTGGGCCTGCTCTTCAACCTTGAGGTCATCCTCCCATTGACTCCTGCATTCCCTCCAGTCCCCGTCCCATCTCAGTCTACCAGATCTCTTCAGTTCATCTGTTCCCCAGCCCTTAACCCCGGGATCTGCGGAACTCTAATCGGCTCTCTGAACACTCCCCTCACTAGGCACCCCTACATTGCCCCACTCCCACCAATTAAACACGTCTAGCATCCTCCACTGTCTTCTCTCTCTTGCGTTGTCATTTTTCCCTCTCCATATTGGATCATTTCCATCAGCATATATGTACATGCTATTATGTACATCCCAGTTTGGGGGAGAGGGGGAAACCTCTGTTAAACCTCCTGCCCTCCTCAGTCATTGCCTCATTTCCTTCCATCCATTTACAAAAGAAAAACAACCAAACAAAATTCTTGAAGAAATTTCTACTTATTCTTTCTAATTTTATACCTCTGCCCAGTCTCTCTTGAATCCACTCCACTGAACCTGCCCTTCTCCAGGTGCCCCCGGGCCTCCACAGCAGATTCCAGTAGTCATTTCTCCTCATTTTATGTGGTTTGGGGAACCAATCCTGATCTCTGAATTGGGCTTCCAGCACAACGGCTGCCTGATTTCCCTCCAGTCTTTCTAGCCACTCCCTCTCAGCCTGCTTTGCTGAGTCCTGCTTTGCATGGGTCCCGCTCATGTTCCAACCTGTAAATATTGAGACATGAGCCAGTAACAGGTCAACCTGTTTCGGCTTAGTGTTGAACTCCTTCTCTAGCCTGTGCATGCTCAGTGTCTGGGTGACCTTGTCCTAGGGTCTCCTGATGAATTACTACCTAGATGTTGGTGGAGCACACACTTCCCCCTTCAACTCCAGGCACCTCTGTCTGCCAACCTACCACCTCTAATTGGATGACAAAAAAGAATGTCTTGGCTTAACATATTTAAAACTGAGCTGCTGATGTTCCCTCCTAAATGTGCCTCTTCTGCAACTCCTTACTTCAGTTCACGGCGAACTCACTCCTCTGGTTGTACACACCAAAAGCCTTGGAAGTATCATCCTTAACTCCGCTCCTCTCACAACCTCTTCTAGTCTGCCAGCAAACCCCACTGGCTCTACTTCTGAATGTTAGACTCTCTCCCCACTTCCCACTGCCCAGCTTGCTACCACTCTGCTTCTAGCCATCCCAGTCTCTTCTGTTTCTTGTTCTCTTCCCTTGCATCCCCTCTGAGGATTCTTTACAAAACAGCCAGCACGAGCCTATGAAAATGTGGCATCAGTTCTCTGCTCAGAATCCTCCCGTGGCTCCCTGTCTCTCTTTAAAAAAGTCCTCGCCATGACCAGCAACTTCACTCTTTCTGGCCTCCATTACAAGTCAGACCGCATCCCCTCCTCTGCCCTCCTGGTCCGCTCTGCCTCCTTCCATTTCCATCCTTCACTGCTACCCTTGCTGCCCTTCCCCTGGCTTTTGGCTCTTGGATCACCGTCAAATTCTTCAGGTTTTACTCAAAAATCTCTTCCCTCTGTGAGGCCTTCCCTAACCTTTTAAATTTTAACCTCCCACCCCTGACATTTCATGGCTCCCTTCCCAACTTATTTTTTCTCAGCTAGCAGTTACTCACTAGCATACTATATAGTTTATTTATCTCATTTATGGTCTGACTTCCTTACTAAACTATAAGTTCCACAAGGGTAGGTTTTCTTTTTTTGATTTATTATTTTATCTCCAAACATTCAGAAAAGTGCCTTTCATGGAGGAAGTGCTCAATAATTATTTGTTGTCCAAATGAATGGTTTCCAAACATGTCAACATTAGCTATGGATCTTCTCCATCTAGGGAACATTTCTCTAGAGAAGTCGGCCAGTGCAGCTGGAGGGAGTCGGCAGTGCCAGGATCGGGACTGGGCTGAGTCTGGCTGGTGTGGCTGTTCCAGGGCCCAAGAGAGTGCCCACGTATTATTGTTGCAGGAAAATGAAGCAACCAGACACCGAGGGTTTCTGGAGTACGAGGTTTATTAACGTGCACGGGCTCAGAGGAGTCAATCTCCAAATTCTGAGCCTCGAACAAAGGGAAAGCAGTCATTTTATAGAGGGTGGGGAGGGGTGGAATAGAGCTAGGGGAGGCCTGTCCTTCAGACTAAATCAGGAGATAATTTACAGAAGCAGAAAGCAGAGCGCTTCACTATCTCTGGTATGTAGGCGATCAGTTAGAAGAAACAAGGTAAATCACTGGGCTGTTAAACATCCAGGCTGTAAAAAAAGCAGTCCCCTAATTGCTGTGCTATATTTTAAAATAGCCATCAATTTCCCCCAACATTATAGTTTCCTGTTCAGTGTGATTTTCAAAGTCCTTCACAATCTGGCCCCCAGATGCCTTTCTGGACTTACCTGCTACTCTGAAAGACCTTTCCACTCAGAGTGGACAGCTCATTATTTTTGAACCCACTTGGCAAGGTCCCCACGTTTGGGCCTCTTGGTGGCGTTTCCTTGTCCAGTCCTGACTCAAACTTCACCTCTCTTGAACCCCATCAGAGGGTCTGGCACACACAATGCTTAGTTTTTTCTCTGCCCTTCACTTACTCTACCACGGCTTCTCTTCGCAAATTCCCAAGCCTTTTCTGACTCAACTTTTCAACAAATTTTGAACAATTTAATTTGTTTACCTTGGATTTTATGAAATCCTTCCTTCACTGACCTAGGGTTCACTCTCAATTCTTCCTAGATGTCTACAATGGGCCTTTGCAGTGAATTTTTATATTCTAGTTTGGGGTAAAACAATTTTGTTAAAGAATTACTAAAACGCAGCACTTATGATAACCCTTTTTAAAAGATTTTTCTGTATTTATTTTTAGTGGGGAAGGAAAGGAAAAAGAAGGAGAGTAACATCGATGCGAGAGAGAAGCATCGTTTGGCTGCCTCTCATATGCGCCCCGACCAGGGGGCCCGCCTTGGCTCCCTTCAGACTGTACTCACCGTTTAGGTGACCCCACCCAGCTACACGGGTTAAATATCACTTACACACTGACAACCCCCGGTTTATGTCTGCTACTCTGACCCTGCCAGGCCGTCCGGCCTCCCACTTGACGCCATCATTTAATTCTCTAATATTAAATATCATGACAACACATTCAGCCCGAATCCTTGATTTTTTCCATTTCCCAGGAGAATTCATGCTCCTTCCTTTCCACCTGAATAAAGTGGACCACTGTGCACCAGTTATTTAGGAAATGAAGAATCTCTCCTCGACAATACTTTAGTCAGGCTCTCCTGAATCCTCTTCCCGACAAGGCCTTGACTTTCGGATTTTCACAGCCATCTTTACATGGCCCAGTTGTAGCAAGAATCCCACTATGTTGGCTTGGCCAGTTTCCCACCCTCCATATCTAACCACTTTGATACCTGATTGGAGTCCTCATCCTCCATCATCCCTCCAGTGATGTCTGATCACCCTTGGCTACCTTCAGCAAGAATCCTGTTAGGCCAGGTTAGCCAGAATCCCCCCTCATCCCTGGCATTTCCTCTTAATAATTTTCCATCCACTGACTGCACCCCCAACCTCACTCCCTGGCTATAAATTCCACTTTTCCTTGTGGTATTCAAAATCGAGCCCAGTTCTACACTGAGGTCTCTCTTCCCCTATTGCAATAGTTCCAGAGTAAAATCAGTTATTACAGGTTTAACTTACTGTCCAGCTTTGGTTTTTCTTTGACATAAGCCACAGTCCTTGAAGTCATTTAAAAAATATCCTTCCTCTTATATACCCAGTCAGTCCATTAACCAATACTATTGTTTTAATCTGCACTGTATTTCCCAAATCTGACCACTCTCACCACCGATACAAATCTGATGTAACCCCATAACTAACTAATTGGATCTCTGTTCTCTCTGCTCTCTATCCTGCCCCTGTCTGTATTTCTAACATGTCCAGAAAGTCCTTAACCTAAGGGCTGCACACTCAGGAGCCCTGCTTGCTTTCTGCCTTTACTTTCTACCGACTTCACGCTGCTCCAGCCAACCTGGCCTTATTTCTTTTCTCCAACACACCACGCTCACTCCTGCTATGTGATCCTCGCAGCTGCTTTCTCTGGAATGCTCTTCCCGAGTGGCTGGTTCCCTCACTTCAGCTGGGGCTCTGTGCACCCGTCACTCACAGGAGCCTTCCCCAGCACTACCTGAAGTAAAAACAACCCCCTCCTGTCACTTAATTCACTCATTCTTCTTCATTTTTCTTTAGAACACTCATCATTCCTGACATCATATGATCTGACAACAGATGTGTTTGTTCTTTGTCTTGTCCACAAGAGAAGAGATTTGTGTTCCTTTTCTCATTGTTAGAACAATGTCTGGCACAGGTATTTAATAACTATTTGACAACTAAATCAAGGTAGGCTTTTATATGGTTTGCTTAGAAGTTAAAAGGAAATACTGTTGCTGGTATTTGTTCCTAGTCTAGCAACACAATAGTCCTTGTCACTATGGGGATTTCTGCACAGGTTTTGGACATTTTCCAAGCACAGTGAGTATCCAGTGTGGTAGTAGATGGCAGTGATCAAGCAAGAATGGCTGAAAGCCATCTGTAATTTCCAGCTTCTCCTTTGTTCCAGGGCAAAGTTTCCAGCTTCAGTGAAGTGGCCTCCTCTGTACAGAATTAGGGGAAGACCATGTCACTTAGCTCCAGGCACGGTCTCTTCTCTATGCAGATGATTCTAATTGCTTCTGAGGCACTCAGTACTTTAAGGAATGTTCGTCTATTTTTGTTTTCTGCAGAGCCTAAGGTAGCTATGCTCTTTGCTGTGTTTTTATTCTCTTCACAGATTGATTTTAATAATAATAGTACAACAAAACAAAGATTTTATTGATCAGTTACAGCACAGGAGACCATTATGATGGTAGATTGAAAGAGTCCTGGAGTCTTCAGTGTCTGAATGATCCCATTAAAGGAAATTTGAAGTTTATGTTTTTTTCAAAGAAAATTTAATTTAAAAATTAGTAAGTTTTTATTTTTAATAAGGAAATACATCTAACAGACACTGATGTCGGTCAGATCTTTAAAATATTATTTCTACATTTTCAAAGTATATGGCACAAACATAAGTTATCTTACTGAAATTAAATCTTGGGGGAAGTTGGGTTTAATAGACTGGGCTGTTAGTGACGAGGTTACAGAAGCATATGGGTATCCTGAAGGAAGTAGTTAGGACAGCTAGTTTCTTCATGATGAGCTCTTTTTTGGGGGGAGGTGTAAAGATTTTATTTATTTATTTTTAGAGAGGGGAAGGGAGAGAGAAAGAAAGGGAGAGAAACATCAGTCTGTGGTTGCCTCTCATGTGTCCCCCACTGGGAACTGGCCTGCAACCCAGGCATGTGCCCTGACTGGGAATCGAACTGGTGACCCTTTGCTTCACAGTCCCATGCTCAATCCACTGAGCCACACCAGCCAGGGCTCAAGATGAGCTTTAAGCACTAATTAGACATCATTTGATAAATTTTAAAAAAATGGTTCTGATATGGGAAGTTTTGAAGAACCTCTATTTAACCTTTATTTGCCCAGGCCCCAGGAGCCCTGGGGAGAATGATGGGGCTGTCTGGGATAAGTAAACAACCGTGCATTAGCTAGGGCTGAGATTAGCACCACTGCTGTTAAAAACTGACCTTCGAATTTAGCCTTTGTACTTTACTTTCGCCTGGTAGCTAGGACTAACTTCCGCATTCCTGCTTCTGTATCTTGCTTTACTGCCGGAAGGCTATATAAACCCCTAGAATCCTTTGTTCGGGGCTCAGAATTTGGAGACTGACTCCTCTGGGCCCTCTGGGCACGTTAATAAACCTCGTACTCCAGAATCCCTCTGTGTCTGGTTGCTTGGTTTTCCTGCAACAGTTCCCCCAGAGGATAAAGATTAAAAATAGGTCGTGGGGTAGTGTCCCCAAGCACAATCCATCTAACTTCTCATACTCACCCAAAGTAATATTTCAAGGTGAAAGATTAAAAATCTGCCTCCTTGTCGTCCTGTCACAGGAATGCCAAGACGGTACCGAATTAGCGCCTACGATCCAGATCATTTCCTGTCAGGTAAGTGGTCACATAGGCTGTAAAATGGCTCCGTTTTCAACGCCATCAAGGTTTTATTTCCAACTTGCAAAATGGCCCACTGACATTTTTATTTCTCCTGAGTTGTCTGAAGCTCCCCTCCCCTTTGTGAAGGTGGTGAGCGACCCCCAGAAGCAGTTGGAAAAAGTGTCCTGCTGTTTTCAGGAGTGAAGTGGGGAAGACTTAGAAAGTACATCTTTCCCTTTAGAGAATTTATTTTTGGAGTTTAATCAGGGTGAATTAAAACATTTAACTTTTTTTAAAGATCTAATTGGCTTTAGTCCACAATTCATAACATGATTTGGGCAGCACTGCATCTAGTAAATAGAATAGTGCTCCTAAAACATTTCATTTTAAAACTAATTACTGGCCCTGGGCAGTGTGGCTCAGTGGATTGAGTGTGGGCCTGCGAACTAAAGGGTCCCCGGTTTGATTCCCCGTCAGGGCACATGCCTGGGCGGCAGGCCAGGTCCCCAGTAGGCACTGCACTAGAGGCAACCACGCACTGATGTTTCACTCCCCCTCTTTCTCCCTCCCTTTCTTTCTCTCTAAAAATAAATAAAGTCTTAAAAAAATAAAATTAGTTTACTGAACCTTGACTCAGTTAAGTGTTATTCACTAAATATAGGACACAGTGCTGCCGGGGAGAGAGAAACAGTGAGACTCCTCATTTGTTTCCATCCCGCTGAGCTTGCAACCCACCAGGGGCCAAACCTAAGGTCTGACGCGACTCTTAGACGAGCTGCAGTGAATGCGAATGTTCAGGGCGCAACTGCACAGGAATTCGGATATTTCGGCTAGGGCGTGCAGAATATGTCTACTACACTCAACAAACATTTAATGAAGGCCCACTGTGTGCCAGGCACTGTGGTAAGAGATAGATAAGACACAGGGCTTTCTCTTTGGCACGTCAGCACTGTGGGAAGATGACACAGAAAGGAGGAAAATTCCTGTAAAGTGGTAGGTGGGCTGTTAGAATTATGCACAAAGGAGGAAGACGAAAACAGCCTCAAGGCCAAGAAGAGGGTCAGAAAAGGCACTCTGGAGGAAGGAACACTTCAGCCGATTCTTAAGACAGACAGGAGTGGTTCTGGTTTAGTTTTGGCATCATAAGGCTACTCTAGCCCATCTGTCCTATGGATTACAACGGAAAACTCAACACAAAATGCAAATATCAACTGCCTGAGCACTCTGAAAAGTATGTAAAGGGGTCAACCCTGAGAAAAGAAACCTGCAAGGAGGTAAGTGTCCTGGCTTTTCTTCGCCTCCCTCTCTTTCTTTTAATCCTCATCCAAGGATATGTTTATAGATATTTTGAGACACATGCACACAGAGAAAGAGAGAGAGAGAGAGAGAGAGAGAGAGAGAGAGAGAGAAAGGGAGATAAACATGAATGTGAGAGAAACATCCATCAGTTGCCTCTTATACATGCCCCGACTGGGAATCCAGCTGGCAATGTAGGTATGCGCCCTGGCTGGGGATTGAACCCACAACTTTTGGTGTATGGGGTGATGCTCCAACCAACTGAGCCACCTGGCCAGGGTTTTCTTTTTTGTTCCTACGGCTTAGTCCTATGGTGGGGCCCCATTTGGTATCAAGGGTAGCTAAAACTCTGATAGAAACCTCATATGCCTGGAACTGAGAAAAGAAGCCCCTGTGAGTTGGAAAATAGGCGAAGCCTGGAGGATGGAGAGAGGTGGGGGAGGGGACCCTAATTTTCTGTGTCAGCTGCATAAGTCTTGGGTTCAGTCCTGAGTTGCACTTGTGTGCAAGTGACCCAGAGGAGCCTAGCAAAGGCTTTGACAACTGGCCCAAGTCCCAGACTGACCCCTGAGTGGTATGTGTTTAGGACAGACCCAGAGCAGAGGCTTTGAAAACTGAACTGAGGTCGCAACCCATCACCCAGGAAGGTGGTAGGAAACTCGTAATGTGAATCGGACCAGGCTGACTGCCTGCTTAAACAAACATTCTCCAGAGGAGGATTTTAACTGGATCCAGCATCTCTACAATGTAAGAGGTTAGGCCCTCTGACTAAATAGTCGGGTATTACATGTTTTAAAAATTCCGGGGCACCACCGATTGTGAAATTGCTGAGTTACAACAATCACTTAGGAAGAAAGGGTAAAGATTCTGCCACAGCAGGTAAAAGAGAAAGAAGACACTTGACACAGAGAGGACAATATGATCAAAGGTAAGAAAGTGAGAAATAATGTGTGAAGAACTAATAGCAATTTTGTTGTTGTTGGAATGTAAATGAGATAGGGAGAGCAAGGTATGAAGCTAGAGAGGTGGACAATGGCAGATGAAATTGGATTTTATCCTAAAGGAAGCGTTGAAAGGTTTTATGTAACAGATTTTTATTTCAGTTAGATACTTATGGGTAAAAGTTTTAAAAGTAGGCTATAACAATAGTGTAGAATAGAAGCTTGGTTTCAGAAACATCTTTAGCGGTGATTTTCAACAAGTGTGCTGCAAGAATTTTTAAAGCATGCAACACCTCACTATTTAGTCAGGGGCACAGACCTCTTTTCCTTTAGATTGTCAAATTTAAAAAAATGACAACAGCCAACACAACAATAGCTATCCAGTGGGAATTAATCAAAATTATACCTATTTTTTTGTTAGATAGGCAAAAAATATATTTTTTGGTGTGCTGCAGAATTTTAGTGATTAGTTTATGTGTGCCATGAGATGAAAAAGGTCAAAAGTCACTGATCTCTAGAAATAAAATTGGCAGGCCCAGGTGACAAACGGACAAGAGAAAAAGAAGGGAGTATGAAGGGGGAACCTGGGCTTTCTGATGGCTGGATGGAGGGTGGAAGGGCATTTCAGAAGAGGAGCAGGTTTACTGCAAAAGAAGGTGATTTCAGTTTGAGATGAAATATGGTGAAGCTGGAATTCCTACCAATATTTTAAATTTTATTAGAACTCAGTGTGCCAGTAGAATTGTGTGGCTCAAGTCTAAACTGCATTCTGTGCGCATATAGAACCCTTTACAATTTCCACCTAGCCTACCACTCCCACACCATTTCCTATTCTGTTTCAGCCATATCAAACTTTTCTCAAAGAACCCTTTTTAAAAAGATTTAATTAATTTATTTTTAGAGAGAGGGAAAAGGAGGGAGAAGGGGAGAAAAACATCAATGTGTGGTTGCCTCTCAAGCTCCCCCTACTGGGGACCTGGCCCACAACCCAGGCATGTACCCTGAATCGGTGACCCTGAATTGGTTGGCAGAACAGAGCTAAATCCACTGAGCTACACCGGCCAGGGCTCAAACGGACCTTTCTTGCCACAGAAATAAAAAACAGGTTCTCTTAAACCATACCATCTGCACACGTTCTGAGGTACATTGCAAGGGGAAGTAATGACGTGGAGTGGATGGGGCTAGAGAGATGGGTTGCAAGGGCAGTGATAATGAGACTCAGGATTGTAGTTTGGGAGGCTAAACAGATTAGAGAGGATCGGGTGGAAAATAATATTTCAGATAGATGGTAAGAAAAAATATTACACATTTTGAGGCTGTGGTCTGGTCAAAGAGCAAAAGGAAAGTAAGAGCTGGTGTCTGATAAAGAAGGCCTTTCCTTCTCTGCTGGCGTAGCTTTACTCAGGCATTCTACAAATTGATGCCCTGCTCCACTTCCCTAAACAACGGAATTGAATGCAGGGATTAGGGCGAGAGTGCACTTGAAACCGCGGCTTTGGTTCCAGATTTCTTCCTTGAGCTACTGTTATGTGTTACAATGTACAGCCACGGATTTGCTGCCTGACCTTGGGCAAGATGCTATTTAATTGTCTATAACTTAATCCTCCTGTTTGTGAGGAGAGGATAACATGGAATTTACAGTGTTATGAGGGATAAGTGAGAGTATACGGGTGCTTACAGGTGCATTTCAATAAATGTTAAGTGAGAGATAAACGACAGATCTCCAAAGAGTGAGGGCAGGAATCTTAGAAAGTTGTTAAAGAACAGGCCTCCGGGTCCGCTTTGCGCCGTAAAGGTCCGAGAAGCGGACGCGAAGCCATATCTTGCAATTTTTGTTCCGTATTTTATTATAACGGTTCCTCTGTTCCCAAGCTGCAACTCCAGTTCACTCCGCCAAGGGGCGCCAGCTTCTACGGGTCCAGCTTTATCTGACGCTGAGGCTGGAAAACGGTGTCCTGTCTCTTAGGCAACCATATCAACTTCCGGTTCGCGGCGAGGACTTGGTTGGCGAGTGGCCACAGTTCCGCTACGTGATTCGCGCGGGCGCCTTGGGTACTAGAGGGCGCGCGTCAGATATCTGCAGCGACCAGCGGGTTCCGAAGTTTGATTTCTGTGCCTTGGATAAGGCCTCCCCCCTGCGCCCCCCAGGGAGGTGGCGCTAGCCTAGACCGCCGGCTCTGGAGGCGCGAGACCGGGTCTAGGCTTGGAGTTCCTGAGGCCCCGCTGAGAAGCCGGGAAGTAGCAGGACTGGTTATCTCGAGCCGCCAAGCTGGAGTTGGAAGTGGAACTCCGTGGGACCGGGTACCCGGTGGTCGGGAAGCGGCTTCTCCAGGATGAGGTCCCGGAGGAGAATGAGCCGGAGGCGGTAGCAGGTTCCCGGCGCAGCGGCGGGCGCGGGAGACTGCTGCACTGGTTCGTCACAGTGATCCTGTGTGCCGCCTTCCTGGGGCTGGTGAGAGCCGGGCTGGAGCCCTCCGGGGCCGGGGCATGAGCTGGCCTCCTGTAGAGAATGTGGTCTCGCCTCCGCCGCTTGCAAACTACTTTACCTTGAGCGCGTTAATCTGCCCGAGCCTCAGTTTCGTAGTCTGGAAAACGGGCACAATTCTAATCTTGGAGGGTTATTGTCAAGTGCAAGATTGATTTCCCAGCTTCAGCAAACCTGCCTACCTCTCCTCTGTGGGGTGGGGAGATGCAAGAGATGCAATAGCCGCTGTCCCCTCCCAACCTCCAAACCAAATTACTACACAAAGCTGCTTTTCTAGGATTTTCTCTTCCTCTTCTCACCAAATTCAGCCAACCCCTTATTTTTGCAGGTAGGGAAATAGAGCCAGAGAGGGACAGTGACTTTTCCCGATGACACAGCTGGTTAAGTGGTAGAGCTAGAAGTAATCTCTCTTATTTTGATCACAATCCCATGTAAAACAAACTTCAAGATCCTTCAATGTTTTCCTTAGAGCAAACTAACTTCAAGGCTAGAAGCTCTTTTTGCCAACCCCCTTGGCCTTCCTGTGGTTCCCGTATTTGCGGAAGCCTATCCTTCACTTATTTTGAGTATTGGGACCCTGAGGAGTTGGGAGGGTGAGTCTTCTGAGGAAAGTCTTAGAATATTTTAATCTGAAAAAAAGAAAAACTGCAGACGCTTGATGAACCCTGACTGTGTGCCAGAGCCTGTTGTAAGAACTCTGAGGGTAGGAAGTAGTATGATCACAGTTTCCGTTTCGCTTCCCCCTAGCGTGCTTCCTCTCCACTTGTGCGCAGGCGCCTGGGTCCTTCCTGGGGGCCTGCTCCGGTTTAGGCGGGGGACTCACCCAAGCCTTTGGAGCACAGCAGTGCAATTCGGATAAATTATTCTTGACATGTAGACCAATTAGAAATATTTTTTTAAGTTTCCTCTGAAAGCCAACTGTAACCGTTAATTTTTGCTAACACTACGTTGTCTTTGAGTAAAATTTTATTTTTAAAGTCATTGTATACATGTGTATGTTCTATTTACAAAGAAGGTCTTACAGACTGTACTTCTGATGGCAGCGGGTTTTTCTTTGAAGAAAAGCATAGATTTAGGGAGGGTGTGGGTGGGAGTGGAAGAAGATGGGATAAACGGTAATGGAAAAAATGCAATACCCCCCCCCACATATAAAACAGATTTAGAAACATAAATCGTTTATCTCCTGCCTGTTTTATATAATGTAATTCAGAGGAAGGACCCCACGTACTACTGTTTTAATAACATCAAAAACGGAAATAGTATTTTGATGGTTTGATAATTAACAATTTTTAACATCTAAATTCTTGTGTTATTTGTGCATGTAGTATATTTCAAAATATACAAAACTTTGAAAAATTACCTCAATGTTACATTTACTATTAATACAAAATAGTCATTTATGAAATTGTCCAAAAAGGAAACAATTGTAGCAAAAACCAAGAGAATTAAAGAAATTTTTACAAATTGAGAGTTGTCAAAATTCGGAAAACAGTAGGAGCTGGCGCGCCCGAAATAGCAGTCCCGCTCTAGTCCCAGCATCCTCCGTAGTTTTTCCGGACTGGGACTGAGGTAACCCCTGCATCGCAGGGAAACCCTCTCCTCCCTTTTGAATAGTGAAAAGAGCCACCAAACAGACATTATTTAATGACTATAAATAAAAGCTTTTGTCTTTCAAAATTTTAGGGATTGAGTATCTCTATTGTGGGACCCACATTTCAAGATTTGGCAACAAATTTAAACCGAAACATCAGCAGTATTTCTCACATTTTTGTGGGCCGTGCTTTTGGATATTTGACTGGCTCTGTGATCGGTGGAATTCTTTTTGACGCTATAAATCCTTTTTTACTTTTGGGTAAGTAAACACAAATTTTACTTTCTTTATGACTTTCAGGAAATTTACAACTTGTTTTTAAACATGAAACATACTTGCTTGTAAAGTGGTTGACGTTTCAGGGGTAGTGTTAGGTGTCCTCAGGAGAAGCCGGGTTTCCCTGTTGCCTGCTTTCATTCTGGCAGTTCAGGGAGTCTCGGCCGGCCACTCTGGACATTTAGATTAGCCCTGGGTAGCTTAGTCATCCTCGGCCTTCCCAGCTGTCACTGGAATTTAGACACCAGCCCCGGATCACAGACTGGTTATCCGAAGAGCTCTGCTTTGCAGGGTTTGGGCCGGATCTGGAGTCCCCACAGACCAGAATGAATTCCTTGAACCTGCCCAAGCTAAACCCTGTGCTGAGGATGAGAGGGGGGTGGTGAGGGTGTGAAATGACACAGGCAGTACTTTTGTCCCTGCTGCCCCATGTCAGTAACAGGCTCAGACTTCTCTGCCTGGCCCTTGAAATAGGTGGCAATGCTTTTAACTTAGTCCTTAAAAAAAAAAACACAAATGGACATGTTTGAAGAAAGTTTGGATTAATGTGATAAAATTGCTTTGGAAGTAAGGAGATTTATTATTGTTGATGAATAATATACTGATTGTTGACAAATCTCTGATTCCCAAAGTGGGTTTAAGGAATATACTTCTTTGATTTCCCTCCCTTCTCCTAAACTAGCTTATTTAATCCATTTCACTACCAAGTACTGTAGTAATTGCATTTCATTTTTTGTCTTTTTTTTTGCTTCAGATCTAAAATTCTCTTTAGGTTCTTAAATATGAAACATTTCAGTAAGTAATGTTTGAGCTGTTTGTTTTGCAATAAAACTGCTTTGTGATATACTTATAATTTGATTATTAGTAGTGCTAGAAATATATTCATATTAGAGTAATTTTTATAGTCCATAAAGACTGTAAAAGCTTTCAAATGAGTTGACCACTTAGAGAAACCAAGCCTCTCTGATGCCTACGTGACCCGTGCCTGACGGGTCAGGCACCCGGCTCTGCGCCAGCACCGGCTCTGCGCCAGCACCACCGGCTCTGACGGCCAACCTCCCTTTCTTCTCAGGGCTCTCGTTGTTGGCCACCACCGTGGGCCTTTGTCTCGTGCCATTTTGTAAGGCAGTAGTGCTGCTGGTTGTCATGATGGCCATCTTTGGTGTTTCGATGGGCATTCTGGATACAGGTTAGTGAGCCTTTCGGTGTCATCTCTGGGCGTAGGAAAAAGTGGAGCAGATGATGCATCACTTGTAGACACTGACCTGCTGAGGTGGACATCAGGTCACCCAGACAGAATAAAACCCTTCTGGCAACTCCTTTCCTTGTCAAGCAGAGTGAATTGAAAGAATTTTGCGCAGTGAGAGATTGTTGATTGCCGGCATCCGAATAAGGACTCGTTAGCCCCATGTGGGCGATTGCCCTGCAAATGAGCGAGCTTTCCCTTTGGAAGAACTTTATCACTGTCACGTGGGAAGAACTGGCTAGGGAATCACTGAAACACCTCTTTAATTTAAAGTGCACTCTTTTGAACTAAGAGAAACTTGTGCCAAATGTTATGTTCCTTCTTTTCCTTTTCTCTCACAAGTTTCTGCCCTCCTGCAGGAGATCCTCTCTATGTATCATGTATCTTGATATGTTTTATTTTATTATTATTTTCTTGTCTCCACCCCCTCCTTAATTCTGGCCCCCTTCCCCAGCTTGATACATTTTAAAACCTAGTAAATAACATCCATGACATTTGTTCACCCCTAAAACCAGCTTTCTCCCCCTCTTGTCTGCTCTACTGTTATTTGAAAGGCTGAAGAAATATTTTATACTTTAGGCTTAGTTTGGTTGTAAAATTATGGGATGGAATTTATCTTCAGATATATTTAAATGGAAGAGAGAGAAAATTCAAGACTGGATGCTTCTTGCCTTTCACCTCGGCAGGTGTACAGAGAGTGCACATGCAATGCTACACAAACAAAGGCGGTGCCCTTGTTTCCTGTCGTGGGTACAGCAGAATCCTGGAGCATTTGAACTCCTGAACGTGTCTCTGACATCTGCTACGCACATAAATAATTTTCTTCAAGTGGCTACCAATTGAAAGTACAGAAAAAGTTGGTAATTTGGCCACTCTCTGATGATAATATATATTTGAAATATTTATACACAAATATATAACCACTCCCTTCTCCCCCAGCCTGACATTAGAACTGTGTTATAAAAAGCCTTGGCCGCCTGTGCCTCGCCCAGGGAGGTCGTGGTTTAGTAGCCAGTGGAATTCCATTTGTGAACTTTTGATGTTACGATGCTTAGAGTTCGCTGGTGGTGGTGGGTTAAAGTTCCTTAATCAGAGAATTAACTCAGTGGCAACTTTTATACCTTAGAATATTATAATTTTTGTGCCATGTAAAATAGACTTCTTTCTGATAGTAATGAACTGTTGTTTTACTAAGTTACATGATTAAATACTTTTTCCTGTCTTTCATTGGTAGGTGGTAACGTCTTAATCTTGGCTATTTGGGGTGACGCAGGAGCCCCGCACATGCAGGCCTTACACTTCAGTTTTGCCTTGGGGGCCTTTCTGGCTCCCCTGCTGGCTAAAGTGGCCCTGGGCACGCCGGTGGCTGCTGGAAACCACACCGAGGGGGAAGGTAACTATTCTTCTCTCAGCCGGTCACCTGAAGCTGACTCAGAATCTCTGTTCGGAGTACCTGACAATATAAGTTTCTTGTGTGCTTATGTTATTATCGGTACTTATATTTTTGTAGTTTGCCTCTTTCTTTTTGCTCTGTTTTTAAAGAAAAGCTCACAGCAGGAAAAAGCGAAAGCATCTGCCCAGAGGTCTCGAAGAGCTAAATATCACCACACCCTTCTTTGTCTCCTTTTTGTGTTCTTTTTTTTTTATGTTGGAGCTGAGGTCACTTACGGCTCTTACGTTTTCTCCTTTGCCGTCACCCATGCCGGCATGGCCGAGAGTGAAGCGGCTGGGCTGAACTCCATGTTCTGGGGGTTCTTCGCAGCCTGCAGGGGCCTGGCAATCTTTTTTGCCGCGTGCTTACAACCCGGAGCAATGATCGTGTTGAGCAATATCGGCAGCCTGGTGTCGACTTTATTTCTGGTGCTTTTGAGCAATAACGCGGCTTGTCTGTGGATCGCAACCTCAGGGTACGGAGCCTCGATGGCAACCACGTTCCCCAGCGGTATTTCTTGGATTGAGCAGTACACAACCATCCACGGGAAATCGGCAGCGTTTTTCGTAGTTGGTGCTTCCCTGGGAGAAATGGCTATTCCTGCAGTCGTTGGAATTCTTCAGGAGAAATACCCTGATTTACCTGTAGTTTTGTACACCTCTCTGGGGGCAGCAGTAGCCACTGCTGTTTTGTTTCCTGTGATGTATATGTTAGCCACTTCACCACTCAGTCGTCAGCGAGAAGAACACAGAAGTGAGGACCAGAGAGCTTTGCTCCCAGGCCCTGGGCTAAACGACTACGAGGAAGATAATGAAGATGATGATGCTGAAAAATGGAATGAAATGGATTTTGAAGCGATTGAAATGAATGACACAATGAGGAATTCTGTACTAGAGACAGCTAGAAGTATTTTGATGGAGCCCACAGCAGAAATCTCCAACCAGTTCCACTCACATGCATTCATGTGTGAGTTCTCCACGGTTAATATGGGCAAGTCCCCTGTGGACCAGCTTGCAAGAAACCAGGACCAAAGGGACTAGCACTGAGAGAAGATGGATAATTCACTGACTTTTTGAATAATTGCCAGTTCTCAAGAAGCCAGTCAGAGCAGGGCATTAGCAGATTTTTCAGCACAGTTTGGGGGTCAAAATGTCTAGGTCAGAGTATAGCAAACGCTAGAAGGTTTTGATACATTCTGTAATTCCCAGAGTCTTCCATGGAGAACCAGTGGTCTCACCCAGCAGGATCTTGTGAGGCTGGTGTTTGGCATGTGGCTGATTAGGTAATATTTTACAGTCTTCATCTTTCAGATGATTGATTTCATCTTTCAGAAAGAAGATTGATTCATTGAACAAGTTACCAATTGTCAGTATTCTGCCAGGAAAGTTGAAGAGAGTCCTCTCATAAAATAGCCTCTTTGAACATGGGCAGAGATTGTGTTTACTTATTTTACGCTGCCTGTACTGTTGGGCCACAGAACGCTGATACCTCGTTTGATTTTGATTCCCATGAAGAGAACACAGAACGGGGCCCTACAAACATGGCTTCAAGCCTTGACTGCTGCTTACTAGCCTTCTGGCCATGCATGCGGTCACTTAACTGGCCTCGGCCTTGTTTACCTCATCTTTTGACTGGGATTCCATAAGTGAAAATGAGATAGTTTTCAAACTAGGAATCTCTAAGTTTTAAAGTTTGTGTAAGTTGTCTGCTAGGAATTAGTGTCAGTTCCACTCCATTCTTCATTTCAAAGGAGAAGTGAAACAAAATCAGTAGCTTCAAGGATGTGCTGCTGATTATAAATACATATGAGTTTAAGAAACTCAATGTTTAATACTCTATTTGAATAATTACCCAAGGAATACATTTTTTAAGTTCTGAATTTTATTGATTCAAAGATTCACCTTTTCCCCCCACATTTTTAACATCTCTGAAATCAGAATATATCTTAAAGCCAATGATCATTTAACATTGTGACAAACTTAACTGGAAGTTCTTTTCCATATATATAATGTCGCATTTTACAATCAGTGTCTTAGATTCTGCAGAATCAGTATTTCAATCGATTATGGAGATTATTTTTAGCCATTTTAAAAGGAAAAGGGTTTTTTTGTATGCTAGTGTCCTCAATGCTCAAATGAGATTTGGACATGCTGTGTTCCAAGTGTCGGTTTTGGAGCTGCTGTGTTCGTGGTAGGACTGAGCAGGGTCTCCTGAGGTCGTTCGCCTGCCTCGGCAGCAGCCTGGGTCTGAGCCTTGCTGTTTCAGAATCTCCTCCTCGAGTCCCATTGTAAGCACTGAACCCAGGCTTAGTTCCATGGACAGTTAAGCACAGTTTCTAGTGATTGGAATACTTGCATCCCTCATCCAGGGCTCCTCTGTGAGTCTGAATTACCAAGGAAACCACAGTAGTGGTGAGGACGCAGCTTGGTGGCCTAGGAGTCGGGACCACAGAGGGCACTTCCTGCGAAGGTGGCAGAGCAGGTGTGGGTGGCCCTTTGAAAAATGACTGATACTGATGACAGATTTTGTTCGCATCTCTTTACCACGTTTTATGCTGAATAACATGGAAATTCTACCTTACTGCAGTATGCCTCCTTTTTCTTAAATATGTAAACTTGCCTTTGTTTTTTTTTATTAAGTGCATTACAGTGCTTTTATTGACCACTGCCCATTCACTTTATAAACCTGCCAGTGCACTGGTTCATGTTAATGATCTAACAGGTTTGGAGACAGCTGGTGGATAAATTAACAGTGAAAAGCCTATGCTTCTTGCTCTTCTTATACTGTAGTTTTCTCTCAGCTGGAACTTGGAGGTTGCCTCTGTGCCATCTGTTGCTTTTCCTTGGGTTGTTGGTATTTAGGCAGTAGCAGCTCCTGGGCAGCTGGGAGGCTCTGCTGGAACAGGGACTCCACCCGCAGTGTCTTCATTGAAGGGTAGAAGATGCAGCTCAGGGAGGGAAGGGTGTTAACACGAACGTGGCGGGAAATTTAGAGATCCACAGTGGAAAATCCACTAGAGTCCCACGAACAAATGTGAATGGCAGTAAGAGATTAAAGGTATTGTTAAAGTTTGATTATGTATTTCCATATTGGAAGAGTAAGACTGAGTTCAATTCTAAGAATTAGCATTCATCCTAGTAATCAATTCTTAGGTAAGTAGCTGCTGATACAGAAGTAACCAATACCGAAGTTTCTATTACTGTGTAACAAATTACCACAAATCTAGCAGCTTAAAATAATAGCCATTTTTTATCTCACAGTTTCCTTGGGTCAGGAATTTGGGCGGGACTTTCAGGTCTCACAGGGCTGCCATCAGGCCGTTGGACAGACCGTGCCCCTCTCCGGAGCCCGGGGCTCCCTGCCAGGCCCATGAGGTTGCCGACAATATTCATTTTCTTGCTGTGCTAGACGGAGGTCCCTTGTGTTGCTGGCTGTCAGCTGGCACCAGTGTCAATTCCTGGGGCCTCCCACAGTTCATTGCCTTGTGGTGCTCACAGATGCTCTCACAACCTGGCAGCTTATCTCTTCAGAGCTTGCAGGAGAATCTCTTGCCCACTGAGAGTTTACTGAGATGGAGTCTTACATCACAGTGTCATGGGAGTGCTGTCCCAGCGCCCGTGCCACATCCTGTTATCTAGAAGCAAGGCACAGGTTCCGTCCACATCCATGGGGAGAGGCTAGTACAGGGGTGTGACTTATTGAGGGTTATGTAACCAGGTACCTGCAAAATAGAGGTTGAGAGAGTTAAACAGTTGGATCTGGGGAGAAATGAAAACCTTCAGCAGTCACTCCCAGATCACGGGTGGAACCCGGGGTGGAGCCCGGGAAGTGTGCATGAGTGAGGATGGCAGGCCCCCCGGGGCCGGGCCAGCAAACCTGGTTGGTAGAGCTGTTTTTTGTTTGTGGGGCACTGGATGGGTTAACTCAATCATGCCTTTTTTTCTTGACATTTTATTTATGCCCTTCACCACTGTGCTTTTAACCTGTTCAAATGCAGCTCAATAAGAGGGAAATAGGTAAATTCCAGTTTAATTGTGTTTTCATAGTAAAGCGTGAGAACATTTTGAAAGCATTTTTCTATTACTCTATTTTTTAAAGAAAAATCTCTTTTAAAAGCCAGTTTTTGTTATAAAAGTAATGCAGGTATTTTAAAAAGGTCATGGTAGAAGATTAGTTAAGTACATAAAAATATAAGGGACAAGTATAAGTGATTTGTAATCCTAAATACCTAGAAAAGTTCTTACATTTCTCATCAACTTAATTTCCTAAGTAAGGAGTAAAGGGGTAAAAAAACATGATAGTATCAGAAACAGCTTGAATTTTGTGTGCAGGGGACATCAGCACTGCAGATGGTGGACTGCTTATTAGTTTGAAGAATTGTAGTTTATTAAAAACAAGCAATAGCAACATAGTCCTGAAAGATGTGTGAGATGCAGATTAAATGTGAAATTATTTTATTTCAGGTAGATTCATTGAGTAATTAGGATAATTTTCTCATAATTAGAATTTTGGGTTTACCATAGTAATGTATGAGTCCTGCCACTTAATCATAGTTATTAGTAAAATGGAGCTTAAGACCCTTAATGGAAAGAGACACGTTCTTCTGGGGCACCCTGTGTCTGTGTGGGCGTGTGTGCGGGAACCCACAGGTGCTCTGTGGGTCTGACATGTTCTGATACTGTGGGGTGCACTGCAGTTAGAGTGGTAGAAAAGGGAAAGTGCCCTGCGAATGGCAGGTCGGCAGTGGAGGGACAGTGGTGTGGGGGTTGCTGGGGGAGGGGCTGTGTGGGGCTGAGTGGGAAAAATGGAGACAATCCAATAAAGATTAAATCAACAATAAAACAAAAAGCAGAATATGTGTTTCACATTTTGTGAGAAATATCCCTTTATGAGGTTATTGTAGATTCGTATGCAGTGTGTACATAGTGGTTTTTTCACATTTGCTATTTGAGAGGTACTTGCTCAGTGTGAAAGGGTGGAGAATTAGACTAGTGCTTCTCATACGTTAATGTTCCTTAAAACTGCTGGTTAAGCCCTGGCCGGGTAGCTCAGTTGATCAGTCATCCCGATATACCAAGTTTGCGGGTTCCGTCCCCAGCCAGGCACATAACAAGAGTCAAACAATGGATGCATACGTAAGTGGAACAACAACTTGGTGTTTCTCTCTCCCTCTAAAGTCAATAAATTGAAAAACTGCTTGTTAAAATTCCTGTTCCCATTCAGTAGGACTGGGGTGGAGGCTGAGATTCCACAACAAGCTCCTAGTGATGGAGTGCTTCTGGCCCATGGGCTCACCAGACTTTGGGTGGCAAGTTCCCCTTTTTGAGAGTGTCGAATTCTTTACTACTTTGGGGGGTTTCACTTGTTTTGTTTTAGCTTTCCTAAATTTGGCGCTCAATCTCTGGGAGTGTGTGGTCCCCACGCAGCCCCTCCTTGCATGCACATTCCAGGCCTTGGTTCTCCTCAGTCCTCTCTGTCGACTGTTGGCGGTTGGCTACTCAACTTCACATGCTTACTGCTTGCTTCCCCTCTGGCAGTCTCCGTGGGAGGCGCTAGGTGCACACGGGGAAAAGGTCAGCAGGTTCCTGTCTGTGTGGGACTTACCCTCTGGTGTGTTCTGGGTCTGTCCTGCAGAGTGTCCATGACGCAGAAAATGAATTTTTAATGTAAATGTAAATTTAAATACATTGGCTAGTGACTCATATTGAATAGCGCAGGTGGGTGGAGGGAGAAATGCCATTAAACAAGGAATCACACAAGGTGTTTGCAAAAAGGCTTTATTTCCTGCTGTACTAGAAATTACCATGTATCTAGGGTCAGAAAGGTTATGATAGATAGCTTGTCAGATGGCCTAATACAAATTATCATGGCACTTAAGAAAGGCCTGATTATATTAGTTAATGGATGGCCTGGAGGGGCGTTTAGAAGTTGCTCGGAGTTTAAACATGCTGAGTTTATAAGGTGCCTGCTCCCCCATCCAGAGAGTGGCCTCCTCTGCACTCCTTCCCACACTGCCCCCGAGTCGGGCGCGGTCCGTACCCAAAAGGGGAGTTCAAGGTCTGTGCTGTGCCGGGAGTAGAGCTGGGCTCCGTGAACGTTTGCTTGCTAGTGGTTGTCCGAATGTGATGCAAATTGTCGGGCCTGGCAGTGCTGGTCTGGTTTATGTTTTGAATCAGAATAGGAAAAAAATCGGACCAAATTACAGAACCTTTTCGGAGTGCTTATTAGGCAAGGTTGGTAGTGGAGGGTTTGATTTTTCACCAAGGAGAGAAGCTCTGTCCCAGTAGCGCAGTACGAGTGAGCGGCAGAGGGGCTCCCGGGTGGTGAGAGGCACTACTGCAGCTCTGATCCCTGCTGGCCAGCAGGGTTCCCAGCTCCACACGTTCCAGTCATTGGACGGGCACTGAGCGCACTGTGTTCACTGACCACCCTGGGAATGTAGCAGAGGACAAGACTCATGAGGTCCTTGCCTTCACCGGGCTTGTGTTTTACTATTTCAGTACGATTTGCTCTGACTACTTTCTGTTAGCTGAAGAGCCAGCAAATCTGATCGTAATAGGTTTTACTAGGTTCCAGAAAAGTCTGTAAAGCAGTGAGCTCTTGTTTCCGTGGTGTGTGTGTGTGTATCTGTCCATTTTTATATTTTCACATGGAATCTTTGGGGTCATTCTTGAGGTAGAGTTTTGTAAGAATTACTTAGCCCGATGCAGTTGAGGTTAATAGAGTGAAAAGCTGCTCAAAGAGTGTGCAGCACTGGGGCGGGGCCGTCTGGGGGTTGGTGCAACACAAAGGTCACTGTTCTGGCTGAACCTCATCTTGGGTCACCCCTGTGGGCAGTTCTCATTTCTCAGCCCTTTTACTTATCACTTGCTGAGAACTTTCTACTCTGAGGAGGAGATTAGCCAGTTCCGAATCAGCCCTTTTACTTATCACTTGCTGAGAACTTTCTACTCTGAGGAGGAGATTAGCCCGTTCTGAATCAGCCCTTTTACTTATCACTTGCTGAGAACTTTCTACTCTTAGGCGGAGATTAGCCAGTTCTGAATCCAGGCACCCTTTGGGACTTCACCCTTGTTGGAGACAGACTCAGAGACAGGAGCATAGGAAAGGAAGTTCACCTGTGAAGAGCAAGAGGACTGGCCAAATAAATCACACGCATTTAAAGGAAACAAGCAGGACCCACCAGGGTTTCCAAGTTTGCATTAGTCTGTGGTGGAAAAGCAGTAACTTTCCCACGTGATTCCCATCGTCACAAAGGCTGTGATGAGTCTTCACACATCAGCACAGCAGAAACCAGGGATCAAATTGCTTTGCCGGGGAGTCCAGGCTTGTGGGAAATGTTTGAGGTTTTATTGTCTTTGAGATCAGAACCAGTCAGGTGACCCTGTTACTTTCGATGTATCTTGGGCTGCAGAGTGACTGGGCTGTGACGCGGACGCGCTTAGTCAGATTGAGCAGGGCGAAGCGACATTGCCCCTGCAGCCTCCAGGGGCAGGAGGGCCCTGGGGAGGAATGGGACTGCAACACACACCCTCATTCAGGGTTAAGTGATGATAAGCCTCTGCTCCAGTGGTTTTCAA